TCCTTTAGAGGACCATTTTTCAATTTTATCAGAAAGTGATCACATAAGGTTGGGACTAATGGTGGTCCTATAGCGAGAATTAGACCCATGGGTATAGTGACACCTAGACTTTATGGTCTATCAAAGGTACATAAAACTGGTTTGGTACTTCGTCCAGTCCTAGATATTGTCGGTCCACCTTAAAATGCAACCACGAAATAACTAGTTGAACTTCTACTCACTTGTAAAATAAACATATTATTGTACAGCCTTGATGAAGAATTAATTGAAAATGACTATTTCTTGGTTCAATTTGCCTTTTTAATCTCAGTGTTGCAAGCATTTATCACTTAACTGTAATTTCGAATTCTATGTGAAAAGTCTTATTTAAGGATAATACGAAACACACAAAACTGAACGCGTTATATTTCCCGAATTCATGAGAAAACAAACAAAACCTAATGAAGCTGTAGTTAATCAGTTGATTTTGAATTACGTAACTCCAATTAGAAAAACAGACAACAATAAGATCTTACTAAACAATATTGACAACAATCACATGATTTATTTCTGTTTCATGAAATATAGATACAAAAAACATTTAAGTTAACTACTAGAAGAAACCAAATGTTCATCAATGAAAGCTTGAAATATTTATTCAGTAAAGCTAATTGATAGCAACCTAAAATAGCTTATAACTAGGAATCTGGAAATTATATATATATATATATATATATATATATATATATATATATATATATATATATATATATATATATATATATATATATATATATATATATATATATATATATATATATATATATATATATATATATCATTTATGAAGTGGGTGAAATCAGAATTAATGGATGACCATTGAGCGATATTAAGTGGCTTTCGAAAAATTTAACCGTTTACTAGGGATTAAATAAGGTTATAAATTAATGTGAGGAAGTTTCTATTGCAATGTGACATCAGCTATATTGTCAATATGTAATTTAGCCATATGGATAAACGAATTTGGCGCCAAAATCGAAGAGTCACAACCTTCAATCTGAATGTTTCATCCACTAAATTTCAGTCTTATCGCTATTTTTCAGTTGCCATACGACCGAATTCGCAATAGATTTCTTTTGTATATAATGATCGCAGACGTCTGTAATTCGCTATTACCGTAGAACCAGCAAAAAAATCGCTTGTCAAGTTGCAACAACTCCCATACATTAATCTTAACCATGATTGATACTTACATTCTGATTGCTTAGGCCATTATAATGTCAGTTTTTCTCTATTTGTAATTATTCAAAGTGTAGTACATTGGGTTGATGAGTTTTTGTGCCGGATTTTACTAAGTTCCTGATTGGCTCTTGTTATTATTCAGTGGAACGACATATGAGCTGCAATTTTAAACACAATAAATACAAAATGCATCCATAAACAAAACAGCAAAAACAAATTCTTTACAGAATGAGGTATAGAAGTGAAATGTCTAATAGATCAATTAAAAATTGTAGATGTGTAAACAAATACCAGAAATTAATAAACCATCGAACAATGCACTATTTAGTAATAATTTTTAATTTCCCATTGCTGAAATCCAAAACTATCATTGATTGGTGTTTGCCACAATTTGTGAATCCTAAACGGCATGACTAGACATAGCCTTCTTCACAATTTTTAATATCAACAGTTGAGATCATGAATCAATTGAAGCTAGACCACCATTGAAAACATGGAAGCACTGGACGGGCGTTTCGTCCTATTGTGGGACTCCTCAGCAGTACGTATCCACGACCCCGCCTCGCGGGATTCAAACCCAGGACCTGTCAGTCTCGCGCCAGTGCTCTAGTAGGTTAAGCGCCTGGCACGAGACTGATAGGTCCTGGGTTTGAATCCCGCGTTGCGGGGTCGTGGATGCGTACTGCTGAGGAGTCCCACAATAGGACGAAACGCCCGTCCAGTGCTTCCATGTTTTCAATGGTGGTCTAGCTTCAATTGATTCATGATCTCAACTGTTGAAATTACCACAATCTTCACAAAACCCCTTCTGATACTAATTTTTAATATAATTAGATTGTGTCTAATAGTCGTATCCATGACGCAGACTTCGTCCTCGTTAGTTAAATGCACTCAGATTCAACCGTGGTTACATAAAAGGATATCAATCAATTGAAGTTTCAAATATTAACAATAGATTACAGACCATGACTAATACCTTCATACACGCTAAAAGAATTGTTTAGATTCAGTAGCTCAGTGGATGATGCGTTCGCGTTTAATCTTTCAGGTAAAACTTTTAATGAAAGAGAACTGTTACACAACTGAGGATAAATAATGACAAACAATATCAATATTAAAATAAATCCCAATAATATCTCATTTAAATTCATTTTTAGTCAGAAATTTGTTATATCTTATCACTTAGCGACTGAATAAAGATTTACTCATTCTTAGAAACGATTTAACGACTTGTTACGTAACATTGACATGTTACAGAGAAAAAAAGTAGTATATTTTCAATCAGCTACTTTATATTGTCAATTGTGTATCACAAACATAAAAGGTTTACGAACAAATCTAGTAACATCAGCGAATAAAGATGTGTACGTGAACATATATATGTATAACAAAGTGAATCACTACAATTTCAAAAATAATAACAGACAAAATGTTCACATTATTCTTCTTCATTAAAGTAACATGTTACGAATGACGAAATTGACACATCTGTTTTTTTCACACGAAAATCTTAAATAAAACATCTAGTGTAATCATGATAAAACCCCTTTTCCCCCTCCCAGAAAAAGAACACATTTTTTGTTTACCCACTTTTATGGTGGTGTTTAGAGATATCTATGGGAAACAAAAAACATTTTTTATACCTGTCTCATCATTTCGATTAATTCTATTGAGTCTTAATGATCAGATTTAAAAATTATATTTAACATATTTGAATATCGAACCACATACATAGGCACAAAGTACGTAATCCATTAAAAATATATAGAATTGAAGAGTTAATGACATCTATTCCCTCATCTGATTCACCTAATAAAATGTTGATCATCGAAAATGAAAACACTTTATTTAATCGGTCCTTTACATAACTTAGAAACTGTATATTCAGTCACTTCACAATTGTAAAAAAAAGCGTGAGCACCACACTTTTAGTAAATATCATTTGAAGGATCAAACGTTGATGACAGTTACATTCTTTACGATTTCAGAAAAAGGTTGTCATGTAGTATTTATTCGTATCAATTTAAACCATGTCCGCTATAACACTAACCATATTTACAGTTTTCTTGGTGTATTGAATGGTAATGTTGTACCCACCTAACTTCCCGTTTACTTTATGTATTTTTAACCCATTTGGCCACAGTACTTAGTATTATTAAATGAGATATAATTAGCTATCTATTACAGTGAGTGATATGAACTTCCTGAATTGAGCTTATTACCATAAACATTTACGTTTATACATGAATTCCTTTCGATTGGTTGTCTGAATCTTCTTAATGATGTTTAGGATTGCAAATGACCAGCCAGTTTGGGGATATGTGCATCCTGTGTTTATTACCCAATATCATTTGGAGCGGACGGTACCGGGTAAACATGAACTATGGGATCCAGGTACATCCATCTGACCAGTCCCAAACACGACGAAATGCACTTCCTGGATTCTACTACTGGCCATCATCCAACTCTGTTTATATATAAATATTTGAAACCCTGTCTATAAGTTGAAATAGAAAGATTTTCAATTCTTGCGAATCCTACTTCTTAGACGCTTGTGATTTGTTTATAATCGAAAATTCATTTTCAGCAATAGCCCACATGCGCATATAATTTAGCCTTGTTTTTCTTCCTTTCTAATAGTTGATTTTAAAACTTTACTTTTTTATTTGCTTAAAAGGCATACTATCCTTTTGACTGTGTCACTAATATTGCAACTAAAACCTGAGGACTTGATGTTTCAAAGCCTGAAAAATTGCAAACAATTATTACATTTTCATGATGATACCTTGTCCTAGAAAAAAAACCTACAAAATTTGATTTCGGAATATTAAACGTTAACATCAGTAGATGTATAAAATCTATAAGCAATGATAAAGTATAATACAACAGTTATAAAAGTATTACCAAAATGTTTAAATCTAATTAGTATTATTCAGTTCGTAAACTCGGTTAATACGTGAAGATTACGTGTCAGTAACAGTGTACGCTACAAATCTGGAGGCTCAATCAATAAACTATACAGCCGTAATGTTGGAAGTAAAAGCAAAAACCCTGCAAAGAAGCTAAATCATCATTGTATACAAATTGAAACTGGCTTGAAATGATCACATTACTTTAATAATTCAGGTCACATTTGATTTAAAATCTTAATAAGCATCAAGTACATAATGTAATAAACAACTGATATAGTATTTGATTTATTTTATTTAATTTAAACACATGCATTGATACAAGGAGGCATCCAATATGTATGCGTCACACCTTGTCATTCGATTTGTTTAAGGGCTGGAATACTACCCGATCGCCCAAACCGAAGCATATGGTTTCCTTAAGGGCCACTCGCCGAGCCTTTCATCCAGATGTCTAATCCACAAGGCAGTGGAGCAACATTAGGAGATGCATTCCCATGGTAGACGGAGACCAACAATAGGTTCATATACCATTTATTCCTCCAGGACTCTGGAACCCAAGCGCATCATTAATTTGGAGTCAGTGTTTTCCAACTCCCCTAGGAAGGTTCTCCATATCCTCCAACTCGGTCAAATCAAGGAAAATTCGCTTTCTGTCCTTTGAACTTCGTAAAAGAACACCCCTTTCACGAGAAGGCAGTGAGTAAGACTTCCCTGAAAGTGGCTGTATACTCGAGGCTATTTGAGAGCATTTCGAGAGGGAGAGCGAACTCTCCCGACTTTTGGCCGTACCAGGGCATTTGCTACTTAATAATTACATGAAGTTCCTACATAATATATTCGAAAAAATCAAATCACGAAAACAACGCTGAAGATATAAAAGATAAATTGTGAAACGACAGGACAAACAAAGAAATTCAACATTTATGAAAATATATAATGCGCAAAATGATAGCTTCATGTACAATATTTTTTGAAATTTTTATTTTAAAATACTTGAATCAACTGAGCACCAGTACCAACAACAAGTACAAAACATTTGTTCTTATACTCTTTTGTATAAATACATAAAGATTGAATATTTATACTGGTTACAGATAAACTATGAGGATCACCTAAACCGCATAATAGAAAATATTTCGTTGCATTTAATTGGAAATCACATGATGAAGTTTTATTTAGACGCCATAGAATCACTCGTTGATCCGAAGCTAAACTTAAGAAGTAATATAAAAACTCGTTGGTCAATTCGAAATTAGGACATGTGGTAATTTTCACAACACTACTGAAATGTTTTACACACGAAGCGGACCACTGAGGATATGTTACATTAGATTTTGACGAATGACAGATATCCAAAGGAATCTGTGCAATACGAATACTACCATCATCCCCACCAACTACAATAATCGTTGAGATTGTATTACTGTCAGATAAAGTAACCTCTATTATTGGCGAAGTTATACAATTAAAAGCCAATGGGTTTTGTATATGAAATGGTGGAATTGGTTGGCAGTTCAGCATCCAATGGTAGGTAGAGTCTAGACGAAGACCAAATATTCCGTCAATATCCTTGTCTTGGTGATACATATATGGTTTACTGGTACATTGGTGGTTATCAGTAAAACCATAACCTCTCAAAGGACACCATGGTATAATCCATCCATGTAATTCCCCACGAGAATTCGAAATAGCAAAAGAAATCTGATAGGAAGTGATTTGCAAAAGTTTTAAATCTAAACAACAACTGATGTGATTGTCTGATTTGTTAGTTGGTAATATCGTTGGATTGATTCGTTCGATTTCTGAGAATTTTGGATATTCCGTATTACTTCCAGACGATGGTTGAACATGAATCAATCTGAGGAAAACAATAGCATAGAAGTAGTTTGGATGTCATTAGGCGTTTTATACAATCTAACCAAAATGTGTTTTTTAAACAAGAAATCTAGAATGTTTACAGTACTGTGATAATTGCTTTTGTGACGATAACATAACTGTAAATACCTGCATCTTATACGATATCAAATAGATATTTGACAACAGAGGGACTAACTACGACATCATGTTAACAAACTTAGGATGAATTTCAATTTTGAAAATGTCGGAATGAAAAAATCACATTGGTGGTCAGAGTTACGTGCTAATGGCTTGAGAGAATCCTAGTATGCTCATAATTATGGACCATCTTTGATAACTATTATAAATATGGAATTAAAAAACTCAACTTCCAAATGGCTTAGCAGAGCGAGAGTCATTACTTACTAGTAGCTGTATATAGTTCCGCTCGTAGAAGTAGAAATGGTAGTTGGGGCATACTATTAGCTGTCAGCACGTAAAGAATCTCCTCTTCATCTATACCTTAATAATATTGCTGAAAATCTTTCAAACTATAGTCAACTATACAAACAGGAAAACTCAGTCAACAATCTACTTTTACTGTATCGAAACTTGGTAAAAACTTTTATGAAATATCAAAGGCTACTTGTAGAGAAAACACGTTGAATAAAATGGCTATTTTCATGTAGACCAAGAGTTTCAGTAAAGCCAGTCATTCTGCAAAGATAATACGAGGTCAGAATGACCGTCAACCTACTGTGTTGCTGAAAATATTCCAGAATATTCTAAACCATGAAAATGGTGCTGGAACAAGAGTCGTAGAAAATGTGAAGTATTTTGACAGAAATTAAGATTGGTTTACCTTAAACGTTGTAGAATGAAGTTTTTATGACCGCAGCTCGTGTATCTACTGGTTAGTGTGTCAAAATCAGAAGAGGAAAATAATAAATCACTTACCGTACATATCCATCTGAACAACCTGCAATAACTAGTATATTATCGTCTAGTTGATCTTCTTGTCTAGGAACTTGAACACAATCTAAAGCCATTACACGTATATCACTTGATACAATAACATTTTTAAATTTAGCAGTTTTCAAATCATCATCGTGATCACTACCATTATCCTGCTGAACAGTATCATTATCGTCAGAAACATTGCCAACCCGACAGTATTCATTATGTCGAATTTTCGTGGAACCTAAGAAGCCTGCTACTAGCGCAGGTTCATTTGATGATACTAAACGCCATAAACAAATTTGCCCACGACCACCAGCACTCAGCATGTAACGTTTAGAAACAGTTTCCTGGGTTGAATTTATATTATTAATAAGGATATAAGGTATATCTACGCAACGAACACTTGATATATGACCACGATGATGTTGTGGGAAACTGGAAATCGGTTCTGTGCAAGAAATAACATAAAAAAAGGAAACGATGTAACTTTAAAAGATGTCGTTTACGTTAGTTATATCAAGGTACTAAAAAATAAGAATAAACTTTATTAAAGTTTAACTTTTTATAGTTATAAGGATGCGAAATAAAGATTATCATCATTTAAGTTACACCGACTTAGAGATACTGCTGATTATTTGAGTGATAATTAGCTACGTTAATCATTAGTCCTATTCTAAATTTCTTAAATAATATAAATCGTATACATTTAACTTGTTTTGTTTGGAATATTGAACATTCCCATTGTGAAAATTAAAACAACACATATAAGCGAACAATTGTTTTCAATTACATCGTCATCAGGCTTTACTCTAATATACATGAATATTTATACGAAAACGTTTTGTGTGACAAATTCTACAGTTGCTTATTATTAATTCTAATAATAGTTGTTTTCTTGACTGCTCACTATTTACCATCATGTTGACACTGATACGATGGGTATTAAGTGAACCTAAGTGACCTATAAAACTCGTATCATAAAGTTATTTACGTTCTAAATGACATTTTATTAATGTTTATTTTTTGTACGAAAATTTTCATTTATAGAGGTAGCATTATGTTAATAAAAAAAGCTCTCTCTTATAATCAGTTAATCTGACCTTTATAATTTGTTCGTTGGGGTGGGCTTACGTCAATAATCTGGATTTATGATCAATTGTCGTTTGAGTACAATAATCGGATTCATTCCGGTGATCAATTGAACAATCACTAAACAATCATACAAGTCTATTATATCATTACCAAATTTTTAAACATACCACGTTGAAGTAGTAAACACTTCTATTGTACTTATTTACACCATTAAAGAGTTGAGACTTGGACAAATGTGAATGGACAAGAATGTTGAGAGATGGAGCTCCAAACATTGACAACCAATATTGTGACGTGATGGTTTCAATAGATATTTATTTATTCATTTACTTTAACACATAGATATTGGTACAAGGAGGCACAAAATACATATGAACCACACAGATCTCATTTGATACGTGTGAGGGCTGTGATACCGCCCTGGTGCCCAAACCAAAGCAGATGGTTTTCCTAGGGGGGCCACACCCGGAGACTTCGAACTGAAGGTCTGACCCACAAGGCAGTGGAGCATCGTAAGGAGATGCAGATAACGTTATGAGATTGAGTATATTATATTACACGTTTGACGATTGTCCTTATACATTTCAGTTCGAACAATCAAGTAATGTCTACAGTCCTCCCACTATAATTACAACTTATGATCACTCAATATCTACATTATATAACGTGTTATTGTGAGATAACAAGAAGTATATCAACCAAAGGCACAAAACAAAGAATGACAACTTTGTTGTGATAGCAGAGGAAAATCAATATTTATTAGGAAAAAAGTGAACTGCAACATAACATGACTACTTTCTAATGGATACTATCCATACCTGTGATAATTTATCACCAATTTACTTCATCTAACATAATGAAAGTATTATTTAATTATTTGAGTAAAAAAACTAAAGTGAATGATAAGTAGGTTTACAGAGAAGTATCTACCATTTATACATGGATCAGTGCTCATCATTGGCAACGATATCTTCCAACTCGATATCAAAGTATCTTCTCCTCCAGCGAAACAATATAATTCAATGTGTTGATCATTTGAATCACCTTAACATATAACAACAACAAAATATAAACATATTAACAAACGGAGATTTTGTATCATTTGTGTTAGAGAGGAGAAAACATATAACTCAGTAATTTGGTTATAATTGTTAATTGAAGCAGATTAACTTGATGATACTGTAAATAGTGTACATACGTTAGGTTACTTATTAATTTATGTGAAGCATTGGCTGGTTCGATATATATTCTAATTCGACCATTGATCTGATAATTACATGTATAACGCAGTGTGGTTTCCACAGAGTTTTTGATTTATTTGTGGAACATGACAGATGCTCATCTGCAATCTTGCCTTCTCCCTTGTATTAAGCCAGACCAGTTCTTGTTCAGTTATAGCACGTAGTAAGGATTCAATTTTCTTGAAGTTATAACAAGTAGCCATACTAGTGTACTGTCAGGGTGAAACAGTTTAAATGTTACATTTTATGGAAAGAAATGTGATCTACAACTTATTGATTAGCGGAGGGAATTAGAAAAGTCACTGGTTGAAAACTTAATAAAATATTTTTTTAAATATTAGTTATTCGGATAAACGCACCACATGACAGCAAGTCAACAATAATCGTAATTTCTGTGAAGAAATTTTAGAGATAGACAATAATACTACTTAGGAAGTAGGCAAAATTAAAAGTACGGAATTTATTTTCATCTTTTTCCTCTTATATAACTACATTTGTATGTGGTAAAATACTGTTAGAGCCATACAAGTTAAAGGAAGTTGGAGAAAAAATCAAGTAATGTAAAGAAACATAATAACAACAATGGGTTCACAATTATGAAAAAACCCCTATCATTCAGTGAACATTTATACTTCAATTCATTCTTCATTATGTTTATAAGAGAAACTAGCTAATATTCTATAACAAAGAACCGACTCGTAACAATGAAGGTATTTATTTTTAATAGAAAACAGATTTATTCAATTGGAATCGTAATATAAAATAACTGTTTATCAATGTATAAAAATTAATGATTTAAATAAACAGAAACTTATTATAAGCAAAAATGGATAGTGGCTAGCAGTGGAATCCAGGACGCGCGTTTCGTCCTGTTTGGGACTCGTCAGCTGGATGTACCTGCATCTCAAAGTTGATGTTCACTCTGGGACTCGAACTCAGTACCGTTCGCTTGAAACACCATCGCGTTATCCACTTAGCTACTGAGTCCTGATAGCCACTTGCTTGTGCAATGGGGTGAAGTTTAATTCACTTGGTACTGTTTTACTTGAATCTTCCCACTGCTAGCCACTATCCATCTTTGCTTATAATGCTTGTAAACTACGGCAATTTCGAGGCATACGCACAGTATGCACATATGACAATAACAGACTGATCAATTTCAGTCCTAAAACATCAATGGGAAGATTCAAGCAAAACAATACCAAGTGAAGAAACTTATTATATTTATAATATTTTTTTAAAAATTCTTTCATTCTTAAAGTGTATATTGAAATAGTTGTACTGTATACAAAACTGATATCCGGTAGCATTGTGTTTGCTACTTATATTGACATAAATAGTATATGATGTTAGTCGTGAACAGAAGGTCTGGCAGCAGAGAGACAAAAGGATCAAACAGTAAACAATGGAAACAGAATGCCATTTGTATGAAAATGCAAGAACAATGAAGTCTGAGTCATTTTGAGACAATTGGTGGACATTTTGCAAATTAAGCATTTACTTTATGATTGTTAGATTTTATTAACAAGTCCTGTAATTTTGTGTTAAATACATTCGGCTGTCCCCATTGGTGTTCTTGTTCACTACAGTAGGACACAACTTATTCGTATAAAAATCTGTCTCAGTCACTTCGAACACTGCTTATTATAACCATAATCCACAAAAACGGTTGTTCGGCGTAGTATGCTAATTACCGAATAAAGATTCCAACTGTAACTCAGCAAGCATGTACACATTCATCTGTTACGTTATAAGTCATACATATCATATGAAATTATTGGGTTGATTAAACTTCGGCAATTGAAGATGAAATTAAATTCACGACTGATGGTGACGTTGCAAGTTTCTGCCGCATGATAATAAGTAATAACTAATGTAACAAACTGAAGGTTTCTGACTTGTCAACTGTGATTCAAGACTACGTCATGAGATTGTAAAACATATCAAATGACTTGTATTTAAGACAATATGTTTTTTTAAAGTGTAGAATAAAACTAACCTTTAAGATAATTCTGAACACCGAATATGTCATTTTTATTGAGTAATAAACAAGTGTTAATTGTTTGACCATGAAGAGACAGCTGAAATATATTATTAAAAGGTTTTTGAGAACACAACATAGTAAAAAATGCAAACAATTGACGATAACAACCTACACTATGCAATCAGTAGTCACTTCATTAAAGTTATGAAAAACCCCAGTATTAATCGTTTTTTTCGGAAAAGCTTAAATAGAAGTTTACTGAGAAACTTCCAGGAATATTTATTGTATAAAGACTCAAGACACTATTTGAGTATGTAGATTACAGTAAGTACAGTTGAATTTGAATTTCCAACCTAATGGTTGAAGATAAAGTATAGAAACTACTAATTCTGAATTCTACTTTCAGGTAAAGTGACATCTAAATATTTATCAGCCTGAAAAAAGCCGAAACCTGAAGTTATGAAAAACTAATGAAGCTATATTTTAAGCTTAATTTCAGTATATTTCTACGATTGTAGGTGATTTTCCAGGTACAGGTTAATATTGTCAGCTTTGAGCTACATTATATATGTCAGATTTAGTGATATTACCCAGCTTTCCAGACTGAATTACGAATGGTGAAGTTGAAATCCGCAATCTATTGGCTGAAAGCCGAGTTACATACACAGCTGAGACCAACCATGCAGTCCCGAAAACGATCAAAATGTACCAAAATTACCCATGATTTGTATGATTAAGGAATCAGATTAAAAAATAAATATATCGATTACTAACAATCACCTAGATTTACAGGAAACGCTAATTAGAGAAATGTATTTGACTTTCTGTGTGGGGGGGATTTGAGACAATTAGTAACACTTCTTGTAACTCATTATGCTCAACCACCAAATACAGATTTGTGAATTCGGCTCTGAGATATACTTCATATATGAGGGCTGGTGATAGTAATAGGCTCTGGATGAATCGAAATAGACGGAACAAGACTTGAACCTGTAACCTAGTGGTTGGAACTAGAATACCCTAGCAACTAAGTTACCACTACTTCATAGCACATGTCTATGAGCTGCAATTTTACGAATAGAGTCTAATAAATAAACCATGAGTAATATATTTCATGCTTACAGAGAAACATAAGCATGTCACACGACGAAAGTGAAATGTGTTATACTATAATTCAATATTAATATGACAGAACAGGAGCATTTGCAGTAAAATGACAAAGGATGTAGTTTCTTCTTAAAATATCTCGAAAACAGAACTTTTAACAAAAACATAAATTCCCTACATTCTTTAATTCAAAGCATCTACAAAACAATTGATAACCATGTTCAAGGAATGTCATATGAACAGAACTAATTTTGGATAAACCAATTAATACGGAAAGAAGATTAAAAAACAAATTCTTTATTCACAGTACAAATGTAAACGTGAAAACATAATAACAAACTTACATTTAAATAAATAGGTTCGAAATTACAATTATTTGCTCTGTATGATAATATACAATTATGTGGGTCTGACCGAATTACAACTTTGCCTTTATTAATACTTGCAAAGACAGGACACAATGAACTGCTCTTCATTTCGATGGATTCACTATTATCAACAACAATGCCAGCATTGTAACTATAATTGCCATTTTCACAATTAGTCAGTTTATTTGTCTTTATAGTAGTACCATTGGGCAAAAACCAATCCCAATAATGATTACCACCACCACAATCGACAACGAAACAACCATCCTGACGTACTGGACAGGTAAACGACCAATCCAATTGGTTAGCTGCTTGTAAACACTTGTGATTTAGTGAGATAGCTTTGAAATACTTCTGTATTATAAAATATAAGCAGGAGAGAAAGTATGAAGGAAATGCTTTTATTGAGTTAATTACCAAGATAGAAATATGCGTTTTTAGTCAAATAAAAAATACTTGTGACACAAGTGAAGGATTTTGATGGCATTTTATTCTCTAAGGCGAATGCGTTAATCATGAAAGCTATAAGTGCAATTGTTATACAAGCTGAAAGAAACAATGGTAAAACAAAACAAGTTCAACATTATTTTGAAAGTAAATTGTTATAATGTTGAGAAGCTCTAAGTCAAACAAACCGGTAGCCCTATTCGGATTCGTCTGTACCGAGCACCCGTTAACTGTATGTGGACACGAGTTCAACATGATGAACAGAAAGAAAGTGAAGATTTGAGTCTGTAATAAGATGGATTGACAAATAAAGTATAACCTAACAAAGTATTAAACGTCTATTCTAACTATGAATACATGAATATAACCGTACCAAATTAACAATTATATAGATAAATTTCAATAATTGAATGTCCCTAGATTAAGTTACCAGCCAATAATAATATTAACTAAACCAGACTAGAATAGACAATTAGATGAAACCTATGACTTGGTTATTTCAAGTTATTTATCTTCACTAATTAACTAGATCTTAGTATTCATTCATAGGTAATACACATAAATTTAATAGAAGTCAGTAATTTAGTACCTAAGAATATAAAATGTAATTCTATAATGAATTCGTAAATTAAACCGTCTTAATACAAAAATTTTAATCAGTTATATTAAAATGCAAAATATAAACGGGACAACTTTTTAAGTATTTACAAAACAAAGCAACAGAAACCAATAATATTCTTACAGATTGAAACCCTAAAGCATAAATTTTGTTATCAATTGACCGATACAGTTTCTCAATCCATGTTATATGATCAGATCTTAAGATTGTTGCCAACAGATTTAATGAACCATTTGATTGAATGGACCAGTATTTAACATCACCGTATGTTCGACCACACGATAAGAGATGACAATCTGACTGTCCTTTAATCACAAGCATCGATGTACACCCACCAGAATTATGACATGATTTCAAAAACCATACGGGTGAATACATTTTAGTGCTTTCAATTAAAAACTAGATAAATAAAAGAGAGATGACACAATACTTATTTATTGATTAAATGGTAATAATGATGAGCGAAATGAAGCAACAGTGTAGATGAAATCGAAACATAAGGGAAACTGGAATAAACGTATGAATATGTAACAAAAGTACTTCTATATATGAAAATGTTCATAGATATTTCTTTCCACAAAATAAACATATTTAACAAAGATCTTTATAGAAACTCAGACTTAAGAAGTTTGTAAGTGGTAAAGAAAACTTCTATGAGCTAGGTTAGTTAGGGAAGTTTGATTCATCTTCATCTTAACTGTTCGCTAAGTAGCAACTAATATCATACTGTTAAATCCCTAATGCTGAAAGAATCTTTTCGGCACAGTTGTAATGTGGTCGCTAGTTTGGATGACTCGACAATATGGTGCATTGTTTCGATGTTACAAGTAATCACCCAGACATCCAAGAACTACGCTTTGCATAAGCTTGCATTCGTAGGAGAGGTATGTCTATTATCTTGAGGGGAATGACTCACTCTCTATGTGATTCAAACTCATGCTACTCAGTGTTTTATGGAATGTTTCCTACGAGCTAATGGAAAATAGTAATTGACATAATCTTCGTCTTACTATACATGGAGAAGTATCAATAAAGCATATTAAGTTACCACAATTATATTCTACATTTTGTAGAATTCCAGTTGAACTGAGTATTTGGCCTAGTGTACACAGTTACTAATGAATATAAGTGGTTTGATAGTCGAAAAGGATAATTTTGATAAAGATTTTACACGAGAATGTTTAAATCTAATAGAAATCGCGTTTCATCAGAAGTACATTTTGCTTACGCTAGAATACCAGGCAAGATTTATAACAACGATAAAAAGTTAGTATCCGTCATTTTACTAATGCTTACAATGAAGAGTTTCATGCATTTTGGTGGTGTTAAACTCTTCGAGTTAGATGGTTTAATTTCGAAGTTTTCATTGTCATCTATTAGGTTAATAAATTACAATTTGCACCAATGATTACTAGTTGTTGTAATTGTTTCTACTAATCTCGTTGTTACATTCAGTGACTAAACTACTTGATCTCTAGTGCTGTAATAAACGAAAACTCAGGTGCGGTAAACCGATTTATTAATAAACGCAAAATTACACAGTACCTTGGTAAAATGTGAAAATCATACATTCGATACATCATTTTCACATCTTCCTTTAGTTGTCTTTTTATATACTCCATTATTCTTCTAATCATGTTGTTATTAGGATTATTTTCCGTTTTTCTTCCTGCTACATATTACTTATATTTTTGCACATAAGAGGCGCACATTAGAGTGGTATATAAGATACTTTAACAGATGCATTCACCCTTTTATATTTCTCCGGGACTTGGATTACAATATTCCTTCATAAATAGTTTTTAATTCTTTCTCTAACTATTCTAGATCTTGGACTTTTTTAATATCAAAGATACTAGAACTATTGTGATTCTTGTGGTATCCATTTAATTACACTGACTTAATATGGATATTGAAGGTAACCTACATTTATTTAGTCAGATCATATGTCAATTACGACTGACTACTATTTTAAAAAGTAGTTTGATATTAAGTTAATTTACATATTGATGAAATCTATAAAAAAAAAGTACACTTACATTTACAACGTAAGAATAAATTCCACCATCACGAGTACCAGTCACAAGAATTTGTTTATCACTTATTTCAGTGTTATTAAAATGAATAGGAATGAGTTCAGATGATGTATTTAACCATTTCATATTTTTTGAACTATTTGATCCTTGAATAATAGTGAATATTTTACCAAATGAAAGAGTATTTTCAACTTTTAATAAAGGTATAATGAACTTTAGAATAAGGGGAAAAACAAAACAACATAGGACAATTTAATTTCATGAATTTAATTCCAAAAATGTTTTAGATTCAATGAAGTTACTCATTGGTAATAGCGAAAAAAAAGACTACAACTGGTCAGTTAGATATTGCTTGATGAAAAGCAGAAAATTATTTAGAAACTTCTTTAACTTGTTATTGACTTTATAGTGAATATTATCGAATTCTACTTATCATTGTTTAATCATATTATCCATAGCTCGCGTACAATAAGATACATCAACGATGTAAACGATTAAAATGAATAAAAGAAATGATATATTATGTCTATCTTACTTACTAAAAAAAATGTGAGTGTAATGAACAACAAATCCTCTAGTTCGATCATAATGGGTGAGGTAGTAGAATTCACTGATTGCATCACTTATCTGAGAAGTTTCACCAGCCCTGATAAGTTGGTGGCTGCTAAAATCTCGTCTTCGACTCGAAAAGCTATCTTGGATTTTGCAAACTTTCGTCTATCTATTACAGGTCAAATATACTGGGTAGCAGTCTGTTTTATCTTGCTATATGATCGTTAAATGTGGCCGTCAAAAGTACGGAATATTCGAAAGTTATTAATATGTGATGTTTTTAAAGCATTCTTCGAGTATGGTGGAAAAACTAAGTAAGTAGTGCAGAAGTTAGACGACAGATACTAGGTTAAAAAAGTAAATTAAATTATGAAACTGGATAAATTTTAAACGTGGGAGAGTTACATTTTTGATCTGAGTTTTCATATAGTGACAATGATGAAGTAGCGCGATAAACAGCAAAATATCCACATATCAAAAATCTTATTTTTGGGTGACTAACGACCCTAGGTCTCACCTTATTGACATGGCTGATGATCCTGTCTGTTATGATAACCAAAGTATATTGGTTAGAACAGATGTTTCTTGAGAACCTACTAGTCGAAGCAGACCAGTTAGAGAGTGGTAAAACTAAATCAGTGAATCTAATGTTCGAGGGCAAAATTGTACTGTTAACTGTACATGTATGTGGTGCCAAACGTGTTTCCCATAGATGATCATCTCGAGAGATGTCGCCTTCGTACTGTTAAAAGGTCGGTCTGAAAGCCTGCACATACCCACTAAATACATGGAATGTGAGATGGATGTAATATCACTAACATTTTTTTCTAAAATTTAGTTAGATCAGAAATTTCACACGAAATAGTTAAATATCACCTTCGACATATGCGCCGTTTTTTGTATCATAACATATATACTGACTTCCAATACACATCCTAATTATCAATTTCTTAATCTTTCAAACTTTGACAAAGAGTAATGAAAAAATGAATTTAACGAATAAATCCTTACACACAAGAAAAAACGGTTGAATTTTTATAACAACCAACTGGGACTGTTTCCACTCACCGCAAAATTAAGATTTTACCTTCTTTAAAGTTGAGTTAAGATAATCATTAAAGTATCTAAAACTAGATTTCAAGCATAATGATAAATCTAGTTACTACGTAATTTATTATGTTTAGTTTTCAGATATATCTGTGGTGTGTGCTACATATGTCTGTCGATATAAGTAGTAACACCACTCAGAAGTAGAAAACCTGGCAACAGCAGGCTAAGAAGATCGAGTTGAGGAAAATTGACAGGAGATTCGCAAATGTACTATTTAGTGTATGGTTCTCATATTTAACCAAGATATTCTGTAATTTTGTATTTAACAATAAATTGGTTGTCCCACCTGTGTTCTCGTTCACAACATATCCATTTAACAATTCACTAATACATACTTATTGTAGTGAAATTAATCAATTTTGATTAGTTAAAACATGAAAGCATGGAGAGAATGGCGATTGCTTTTTCATCACATATTATTTACAATCGAAAGTGGATATATTTTAAAGGAAATAAACAAAAACTTACAGAATTACCGTTTGTTAGTCCAATTATTACATATGATGAATTGATCCATATAATTTTCATGATTTTATCGTTTATAGTAATGATATCCAACCACTCCATGAAAGGTGAATCTATTTTTGCAATAAAAAGAAACAAAAAAGTTATAAAAGGAAACTATACAATTTATTCAATGAAAGTGTGGTCGTTATGTATCTGTCACAAGATATGACGGGCCAGGGTTCATTCCTATGTTGAACCGTGGGAGTGCATTGGTGAAGTATCATACTAGGAAGAATTTATTATTTATTTAAACACATAAGAATTGGTACAAGGAGGCACCAAATACGTATGCGCCATACAAATCATTCGATTTGTGTGAGGGCTGGAATAATGTTCGAGGGCGCCCAAACCGAAGTAGGACTAAAAAGAAACAGCTGTTTCAGTGCTTCCTGGTACCCCAAGTAAGATCAAGTTTTCAAGTCTCAAAATTCATAGTCAACTGATACCCGAACTAAGCTACGGAAAGTGAGAATCAATCATGATTCAGGTTTTTGTGAAGATCTTTAATTGGTCATTCACTACTCATCGGATACTAAACATGAGCATACCACCCTCTAAAATAACCTATTCCTCAGACTCCAACAGGCACTGAGACTAATTTTCTGTATTTGGATTCAAAACGGTAGAGATTTGTAGCTCAAATGTATAATTTTAATGGAGCTTTGTTGTCTGAAGGCCTGAATTCAAAGGAAGGTCAAATAACCATATGATTTTAATAAGCGGCATTTCATTTAAAATTGTGTGTCCTACCGATAATTTTCATTGGAAGTGATGTCAACTACCAGCGCCTATTTAACCTTTTATGGAAGAAACCCCAATAGCTCCCAACTTCTCAGGATATAATCACCAACTCAGAGATCCTTTGATTCTTCCTACCATGTTAAGTCATACATAGTTCTATTATCTAAATATTTCGAACAGCCGTGAGCTTTCAAACTAGTTATCCTTGTTGCTGAAACGTTGAAACAAGAAAACAAAGATCGATGCTTTTTTCGAAGGAAAATGTGACTCAAACAAAATGAAGGTTTTTGCGCAAGCGCTTCACACCAAAATTGTTTTACGAGGTTTATATATGTTATTAAAGTATCATACCGAGGTTATGAGCTCGAGAATAAACCAATTATTCAAGATCTACTCATAATCATCAAAATCCATTGAGATTATCATTTGAAAATACAGATTATCAAGGTGCCATAAATTAACACGATAAAATTGGGGAGTCATTCGTATGGCATATCACATAACCGAAAAGCAATACTTACCTTCAAGTAACCTAACCAGTAAAAGATAGCCAGATATATTCCCGATTATCACGTGGGATCGATCCAGACTTGTACAACACGTCAAGTAGCCGCCTAAAAACGAGACCATAGAGCGATTAGGTTTTTCCGAAAATTCAGTGTTTGCATCTTCGAAATTTCGATGAATCTTGGGAAATACTTGTCGAACGATTGGGTCATTTAGATAGAAATATGTATAGATAAGCCTGTGAAAAGTATCAAATATTCCCAGGATAATTCCAACTGTTTGAACATATAGCATATCGAAATAAAATAATGGAAAAAACACCATATATAGTCTGCATAACGAAGAAACGTCTATACATTATTTCATAATTATCATTAGTTTTTTAAATGAGGCTAACTTAAAGTCTCTCCAAATATATCATTTTGTAAATGATTTTAAGAGTCTATAAGTAACTAATGAAATGATAATAATTACAAGTCCTATATATATATATATATATATATATATATATATATATATATATATTATATATATATATATATATATATATATATATATATATATATATATATATTCGAAATCCATTCTCGTATTCGGCTTATTTAATTCCGTTATTCACTAACGCGGATTAAGTCGATAAATATATACGAGGATTGGCAGAGTCTTTTAATAGCGCTAAGCAACAATTCCAGAATGTTTGGAATGCGCTTCTCTCCCTCTAAATGCAAGTTGTTGCTTCAGGACTGGCCTGCGTCAACATCTAAACTAAGGATAGGGAGTGAAGTAGTCGAACGCGTCGACAACTTCACTTATCTTGGAAGTCTGATCAGCCCTAATGGGTTGGTATCGGACAAAATCTCAGCACGGATTCGAAAAGCTCGTTTGGCTTTTGCCAACTTACGTCACCTTTGGCGAAGGCGAGATATCCATCTATCAATAAAAGGACGAGTATACTGCGCAGCAGTTCGTTCCGTTCTACTTTACGGCAGCGAAACATGGCCTTTAAGAGTAGAAGACACCCGTAAGCTACTAGTATTTGACCACAGATGTCTTAGAAATATTGCTGGGATCACTGGGTAAGTAATAGTGAGGTTAGACGCAGGGCATTAGGGAATGATGGTAAATCAGTTGATGAGGTTGTTAATCGTCATCGACTGAGATGGTTGGGCCACGTGTTACGTATGCCTGAACACAGATTACCACGACGTGCAATGCTAACCAGTGTTAGAGGTGGTTGGAAGAGAATTAGGGGCGGCCAAACCAAAACGTGGCATCAGTGCTTGAAGACACTAACCTCTAGTCTGAGCCATGTTGGTAGATGCAGACTACTTGGTTGGGATCCGCGTGACTATCGTAACCAATGGTTGGAGACTCTTGGTGACATGGCTCAGAATCGATCACAATGGCGTAGGTGTATACACTCCCTGTCTTCCGTTAAACTAAGAGATTAAAATCACCTCATATCTTTCTTTCTACTAACTAATTCTTTCTTCCTGTACTGTATCCTTATATGCAATCTTCCTCCTATATATTACCACCTTTGACCTAACCACTCCTATGAATCCGGTGTTCATCTTGCTGTGCTAGCGCGCTATGGCAACCTGGACCGATGCATATATGGGCCTGGTCCTACGTTGTAGCTGACTGACTGACAGACTATATCGGTCGGTATATTTCAATAACGATCAATCATACGATCCAATTGGAGTCAGATCACGGGCCACTAAAACCTTACTGATGAATGTCAACTTGTACTGAAACCCACGTTAATGGCTTCCTGTCGACTTCTTCCAGCCACCTAGCATGAGAATAGGTGTCTTAAATACGGATCAAATCTAAGCAAAGGAAAACTATGAAAGGAGCAGCTGTGGGTAGCACCACTTTTATTTCTCAATGGTAACTGCAAATGAAACTGGAATGTTACTATTGCACACAACCAATTATAAGTTACTCCATCCGGATAATAAAAAAGGAAAACTCATTGGTAACCCACCCTAAATTTGTTACGTAGAACAGACGACCACATGAACCAAAAAATAGAACACGTGCAAAATCTTTTTCTTTGAAGTTGAAAGAGACCTAGAAAAACAAATGTTGACAGAAACAAACTGTAAACTTGCTTGATGTAGTTTGGTAGTACAGTAAGTTAGTGATCAGCAACGTAGAACCTGGTGTGCATATATGCATCAGTCTAAATTCCTATATCAATTTGGATTGGTTGTACATAGACCTACAACTCTAAATTACGTAGCATTGTAGTTTTTCCTAGTTTTACTTTGTCTGAACAGAAAAAAATTAGTTGCCACGCCTTATCAGTGAAAATGAGGAAATGACCTGGTAGCTTCCATCACTAATGTACTGACCCAGTTTTTTGGAATAAGCTTTTTTATACCTGGTCTGTGAAATCTTTGATGGGAAAGTTCTACATATCCTTAACACTTTTCGATACGATTAGAATAGTTTGTAAAATGAGAGTGTTCTTCCAGAAAGGAAGTAGGATAAAAGTATATTAAGTCCATTAATCATGGTACTGAGTTTAATGTGCATGAATGTGTATTCTATCAAATTAGGGGGAATATCCACCCAGCCAATGCCACAACTCATACATCGTTACATGTATTAGATGAACAAATTATATATATTCATGATCTCCGTATATTAAGATTCGATTTTGATAAACTTTCCTACACATTGAAGCATTTTAGTCTGAACAGTGTCTGGTTAATAATTAAGAAGGCACATTGTAAACTGGACAGAATCCGAGGAACATTTTATTCTTTAAATTCAATCTAGAATCGCTTAATATTAACATACAAATAACTTACGTGTTTATATACCAAGTTATAAGTTACAATGAGCGCATAACTGTTTAAGGACAATAGTACTAACTTGTTGCCCAGATCAGACTACATGGAATGAGTCTGAACCTCTGAAGCACAATGCTATTCATAAATGTATGTCACAATTCAGCGATAATATGGACAATGTGATATAAAGGCTATTAAAAACTAGAAGAAAAGAATAAACACATTTAAACCCCTATCGTTCAATATAAATTGTTTCTTAAACAAGAATACGTGAATCAGTAGTGTAGTGACGTACAAAATATCATTACCTGCTGGGAACGCGGAGATGTTATCTTCATTTCATGTGAATCTATCATCAACTCTTTAGTGTTATTCGTTGTAAATTCATGGCATGGTAGTATTATACATTCAGATTCATCACAATCATTACGATAGTTTGTAAGTTCGCGAATACATATGGCACCATCATTCCCACCAGTTGCCTTAAGAAAAAAATCACACGACAAATAATAGAACTGGACTAATTCAGGAGAATTAATTGTAATCACTGTTTAATGTAGTGAAGAGACTAACAAATAACTTTCCTGAGCATTCAATCATAAAGTGACTACTAATAAATCCTAGCACTACAACATATCAATACATACTAATATGTGAAAAATGCTTTACCCTTAAATTCACAAAAGCTAAACCCATTAAATTATAGAAATTACATCGTATGGCTAGTGAAATATAAGTATCTTCAAAAACTGTAAAATAATTATAATTTTAAGACATATGGGTTCATAGAACTAAACTACACTTTTTGTTTGAGAACAAAGCTATCTAGTTGACAAAAAAAGATGCAGCACGCTTCGGCCTTGTAAATAAATGGTCAGGCTCTGAAGAAAAATTCAGTAATCAATGAAAAAGATTTGTTAACGCTCCATTGTGGATAAATTTTGAACTTGAAGAAGTTGTACATTTTAGTGTTTAGTACAATTAAGAATCAAAAATATAAAAAACTTTTACGTACGCATTAGTATGAAGCTATAAAAAAAAGTACATTACATCAATATAACAATTTACCAATAAGACAAACTCCGAGTTATCTGTATTGTCGCTCCAAACACTACAACACCAAACATTTTGTCCACGATGAATATTTCGCAAGACATTAGGGTGTGATATTTTGTTCCATTGATAATAAACAACACGGCAATCCTAAAAAGAGTACACCGATTCTTTTTAGATTCAGAATATTAAAAAAATTGGCTGGGAATTGATAAAATAAACTGATCACGTAAATAAGTATATCTCAATCAACTTTGTCGTTACAAACTAAAATCATGTGTATTTTCACTTAGTAACTTATGAAAATGATTGTACAAAGACTTTGCTACAAAGATTACACTACGTAGATGCAGATTTAAATCACAAACTTATAAACAAAAACTGAACAAATAAAAACCGCTACAAAACAGTCTAAAAACTAATAACTTACCCACGAAAAGAAATCTACATCAGGAACAGTCAGGATTTGATATGGGCATATCAAAGATGTTAGTAGCTAACATTACTCAAATCAACCAGCAAAAATAACCTTTTGTGGTTTACCTATGTCTTTTAGTCATATGAATCCAGGAAAGTGAAATAAACACTAGTCGACATGATGCCACTTTTTCCAGTAGTAAAAAATGAAAAAAACATTTCCGGTTACTTTTACCGATGAATGAAAGATTAGGATTTCCTTTGAATCAAACAACTACGAACAAAGTGGAGAGATATTTAGTAAATTCCAGGCTTCAAATTTTCTGAAATATCTGTGGTCTTATTTCCCCTGTTGCTCAGCTTCGTACATTTTGGCTACTCATAAAAATCCTAGATGTAATGCTTTGCAAACTAACATCAAAACAACTCCAAATTCATCATACCTTGAACTCACTTGGTGTTGTTTACTAGTACCTTCCCGCCGTTATTTAGGATTGCAATTAATCAGTCTCTTGTTGGCACATGTGCATCCTGTGAAACACGCGTCCTGGATTCCACTGCTAGCCACTATCCATCTTTTTATTATACTTTGGTCGACAGAAAAGTTATTGCCTTAGACACATTTTTGATTCATATATCTTACGGATAACATGTGTAACTGAAGAATAGTCCAGAAACAACTTCATTAAAACTTCTGCTGATATGATTTGCAAGGTCTTCATGAGATGAGTATATAGAAGAAGCTTAAAGTAATTCCACTTCCATTAGAAACACAGGATATCAAGAGTAATATATAATTATAACTACTTTTCTAGAAACGATTTATCAACTAGCCGTACCTTTAGGTTATGGATATCATATTCTGTACCTCGAGACTTTAAAAACATTTATTTACTTGAACACAAACATTAGTACAAGGTGGCATCAGATACATGTGCACCACACAATAAAAGAGGTCGTGAAAAAATAGATAATGGAGTGTGAGTATAGTAAAAGAGCAACAATGAACAGAAACATTACTTATGATACTATGACTATCTTATGTTACCAGATGAACTACTGTTAGGTTACTAGACGAGCTATTTCAAGTTTTAGAAAAACTCATGAGGCAAATATGTGCGACCATCGCAAAACACAAATAAACCATATTTTAAAGGTTATTTGGTAATTGAGTAGTATGTGACTTGAAGTTAAATAGAACAAATCATTTCAAATATTATACGGGATTACAAATACTTACTTCTCCAGTGGCTACTATTCCCCAATCACCGACACGAACACACCATATCCTAGATTCAAATATTACACTGTCGTCGAAAATGCTGCCTGCCTTTAAATTGTACACTAATTCCCAAAAGCTGAAATCCTTCACACCTCCATTTGACTCGACTGAAGTCGACCAAACAGCGATACTACGATCTTCAGCACATGAGACCAGACGGAATGACTTTTTAGACGATGACTGTTCACTAGCTAAACAACAGAAATCGAGAGAAAATATCACGCCCTTTTTATTAGTGACAGAATTGTGAGGTTCAACGAAATTTAGAGGATTTAACTGTAAAAAAATCCGGTATACATCATCCATCTTACCTTTTGTGCGCACAGACTTAAGCTCGGAGCCACAGAAGATTGTGTAACATTGTCGTTTGGGATTTTAAAGATATGAATATTTCCAAAAGTAGATCCGCAAAATACTAAAGCTTTATCAACTGGTGAAGACAATAATGAAGAGGTTGGAGATGAGTACTGAAATATATGACCTGTGTAACTAATATCAACATAAGAATAGTTCCAAGAAAGCTACGACCACTCACCAAGCACTCGTTTGAAGGTGAACACAAGTGACATCAACGTTATTACTATTTTTATTAAAATCCCATGACAATTTGATGACCTGGAATAAACCATGACTGGAAAGAGTTTGTAGGTAAAGTGATAATTCATTTGAGTTAATTTTACAGTATACAACATTATCACAATGATAATCTTCAAATATTAGCGATAAATTGGAAGATGACAGATCGAATCCGAGGACAGTGACAAATCTATTTCCAAAAGTGCACAAGATATAACTGTTACGTCTGGAATCTATGGTCAAATATTGGTATTGAAACTGGTTTAAATTAGGAAGTACCTCGTATTGTCTCTATGTTGTGCATTATGACGAAACGCCTCAACAAATATTTACACAGCACTGATTTTTTGTGTATGTTGTATATGTTCAATACGTTCGCGGAGCCTACAGCCAACAAACTTTTCGAAATATAGGATAAAGCAGTAATTGGGCAATGCTGCCAAATAGTTTCCAAGCTTTTATATGTCATTTTTCTTTAATAACTACGTCCTGCTTTCTACAAAACCTGAAACGAAGTTGCGAGAAAAATATTTATTACAGCACAACAATAACAGTACCACAGCTGTAGAACAAAGTGAATACATCAAAGGATTTTTCTGTCGACAACCAATTTACACCAATCAAAGAACCATTAAAAATGTTCATGATCTGTAGGTATATATATTCTATCTATTCCGATAATCGAAAGAAGCGAAATATATAAGCACGGGAATGACAGGTAAGTGGTTCCTAAGTTTAGCATCTAAACACTCCATAATACAGAAAACTTAGTTCCAGTTTATAACTTACTACTATAAAGGATTACTGAATGTCTGCATGACAAAAACACTACTTTGGAAAGCTGAGTGAAAACTTCGTGACAAACTACATCTATTTATTACATTCTAACCAACATGCAGCTGCAACTACTTATGATAAGTATGTGAATATATGCATACACACACAAATATACACGATTAAGATGCCATAAGAGCTAAACCAGCATCAATGGCCAAGTTCGTGTTACATGTTGTACCCAGTAGTTAGTGGAATCTTTATATTAGGTATTTATGAATGAATGTGATATTTGAAAAACACTGTAAGGGAATAAGGAATGACAGTTTTTACATTAAAAATAAGTCTAGGGAAGCTACCAGTAAACTACATAGTTAATCGTGGGCAAGGTAAAAAGGCAACGCTCCTAGGGTATCGTCCACTGATGGGGGTTGCGAGCACTTGAAGGTCAAACTGTCGCAAAATGATTGGTGCGTCTCATCGACAATTCGTGAAAATTTTCAGAAGCGGTCAAATCAAGACATTTTTGGATTTGAATTGATTTCAGCTACACTATGTCTGATAACGTTCATTCTTCAAGTAACGAAGACGACTCCATCGTGATGATGCATGATATAGGCCGAATCTTCAATGATATTATATTATCTCGAAGATTTACAAGTTGGGACAATTTTGAGACCTGTTTGAAAGAAGTACATAAGGTAATATGACCTCTGGGGTTAATAATTATTTTTTTAGTATACGCATACTAAGTACGTTATGTCAGTATGCAAAAAGAACAGTGATGATCCAACTCTAAAGTACTTTTTCGTGAGATATGTCTGTACATATGGACGTAAACGCAGTTCGTCAGAGTCAGATGCTTGCGTTCAGGATGTAGATGATGATAGTAATAATCATTCTTCTGAAGAGCATACAACTTCTAACTCGCCAACACAACCTAGGCAAAGGAGACGACGTCGGTCATCTACGTATGCCTTACTTCAAGTGAATTTATCCTTCAGGTCGAAATATTGCCACTGTCAATCAGGATTTTGGGTCCGGGCAGTGAATGGTGAGTTGAAACTCACCTCTATTAAAACCGTGCACAACCATCCTTGCACAGAAGGATATATTTCTGTCGATCCATCGAAACGACAGTTGACCTCAAGTGAACGCTTGTATTTAAGAACGTTTCTACTGAGTAATACACCAACTCGTAGCTTACGGTATCTGGTTTCTTTGAAGTTCAATAAACAGCTTACCAAGGACGATATCGCCAGAATGCGTTCACAGTTGTACCCAGGTTGTTGAACTCACATTGTAATTAATTGAGTTTAGACACTAAAAATATCAATGACATCTTACAGCGTGTTCAAGCGAACACTGAAGTAAAAGTATTCAATGAAAATGGGAATATATCTATGATTTGCTTCGGCGTCAAGGAGAAAATAGCTGTTTACCACGCTTTCTCGGAGGCAATATGCATTGATTCGACTTATCAGACCAACAAAGTTGGGTAAGTAAAGATTAGTAATAAATTTATCTCGAAGTTTTCCACTGTTCCAGCTAGTGGTGATTGATAGTCTTGGGCAAGAGCACACTGTTATGTATGCTCTTTTCAGGCAAGAACGACGCTAAAATGTCGTAAAACTATTGCAATGCTTTAAAGACATAATGTGTGTTAGTGTGTGTTCCTTTGCCTCTATAAGCTTTGTAGACTTATCTCGATATAGCAACTGGTGGACACGGAAATACATAATGGACTTGGTTCTTCGTGCGCTGGACAACATGTCAATCTCTACAGAAAGTGGTGATTTGCTAGAGAAGTTCACTAACAACTACCACTCAATCCATTCTCTTAGTGAACATTTGGCCAGTAAACTCATCCGTTCATGCCTCGAAGCATCGAAAGACATATGCGCACAACTGATGAGTTCAATCGCTGCTAATGATGAAGCTACAACGTCAGAATCCATTGTTCATACAGACCATAGCTATGCTTCTTGATAACAAGAAGTTCTAATATTGTAATCTTTTTAGTTTTACATAAATTCATTTATATGGCCATTGACTTATTCTTATAGCGTAACGGCAGGGAGTGTACTGTGCAGTCTTATGTGGCTGTGAGACAGGGATGTTGTTTCGCGTTCTTGTGTAATAATTACCAGTTTGGCGCACACGCGATTAGTCATACATACCGTTTACCAAATACTGCAACCTTGAACATGGTGTATCATACTAGTAGTTTGAATTTCGACGTGTCACGATAGATAAGAATTGCCGTAATTAAAAGACTGGTGCGTTATAAATGAAAACGTTTATTAAAGTTTGAATCTAGCACAAATGATCCATTAATAAATAACTTCTATTTCTCAGGAATTGTTCTCGTTAAGTCTGTGAACGCTTGCGAAGCTAGCTGGAAATAAGATAGACAGGAAAGTTATTTCAGTATAAATGTTTACCAGAAACTAGTATAAAAACGGAAACTAGTATTCAATTACAGATCGAAAGTGCATTTAACACACCCTTCCTTTGGACAGTCAATCACGCTTATTTCCTTTATCTCTTGCGTTGCTTAGGAAAGTCTGGGTCACAACATACACGGATTGTATTAATTCTTTGGACAGATTGCACTTCGGAAACTTAGACGATTAACATATATAAAGACTACTGTGTGAATTTACTTTGAATCGTCCTGTGTAACCTGCAATTCTTGATGCATATTCTATTGTAGTCCCACGTAAGTTATGAGTAATTGTCATTTACGGCATCAGCACGTAAGCTAGACAGGCGTTGGTTGATTTCCGAAGATCACATAGGATCTCACACAATCTGGTCACCTTAGATCAAGATATCTTGACTATCGAATCGAACTTTTCAGTGCTTTCTCGTGACAGCTTTATACCAGTACTTACTTCTGCTATTAGGTATTTTTGCAATAATACCGGCAGCCAAAACATTGTAGCTCCCCAGACAACCCATAAAGGGGTAAATGCTTTGGTGGTGAAAGGGGAAAATTTTATTTAAAAGGTAAAGCGTATTATTGTACAACACTAGAGCAAAAGCTTAAGCATCGATTGTTTTGCATATCCAATGCAATTGCTAATTCATTGTTATTTGAAATTATCTGCAAAAGAAGAAACACGTGATGTATTATTTATAAGGAATGTGCATTTATTCAAAAGTTCACTGACACTCAAACACATTCTCAACACTTCTACAGTTTCCCATGTAAGTGAAAAAGTAAGCTGTTTGAAAAATATTTATTGAAATGTAGGTAGAACATCAAAACAATTGCACGGCTATTGAGAATTGAGGTAGTCGTCCCATGAATTCAGAATTTAAAAAAAGAAAAAAGTCACAACCATATCTCAATGACATGCTTTGGTACAGCCAAATACTTGTGTAGATCTATACAAGAGGTAGTAATGCTATCTTAGCTTCGTCTTTGGTAGGATCCCCACATAATTATACCTCTACCGCATGATTATGATTTATTTCCTGCAATACAATCATCTGGTGGCTAATAAATCTAACTGTAGGAGGTGATATTAACATCTTAAGATATGTGTTATTATCATCTATAGCATATACATAATATTTACAACACTCAGGGCACCTTATGTTTTCACTTGAACCTATTTCTGCCATAAAAGTCGAACAAAACAGTGAAAATCAGCAGAAATTGTGATAAAGATAGGAAAAACGATAAATCTTACCATGGTATCGTTAGTTGTAACGCACTTTTGGTAGCCTTGACGACAATACAATTTTTATGACGATATATGCCTAAATCTTTCTATTTCATATAAAAATAAAAGAATTGTCTACCATCAGTGTACACCTAAGTAGAAATAATTGCTAATCTGCGATGCAAACACCGAAAAACTATTATAGCAGCACCTGAATAATGAATTTTCAAGGACTTCGCGATACCATGTAACGCAAAATCAAAAAACCCCTTTTTACCTAATTATGAAAACGGAAAATAGACTTTCAAATTTATTCATAATTAATTTCGAAATTTGGTTGTGCAAAAAGCAGAAATGAAAAAGTAGCGCAAAAAAGTGTCGCGATACCCCTGGAGCGCTGCCAGGTAAAAACGGTAATCCCTTTCAAATCAGTCCGCCGTTTCGATTCAACGACCTTGAACGCGCTGACTGGAAGCGGGCATTCCGTATTTCAATTGCCGTATGTGTGTTGGGTCCTATGAGTATTAAATGTTTCCATATATAAGTCATCTTTTGATGCATAATAAACACTAAATAACTGCTAAGAGCATTAACTGAGTATTTTCTGTTTTGTAGTGCACACTTTAGCTCTGTTGTTCCTTCGAAACTTAATCTGTGGTCCTAAGTGCTGTAGTGAAAGTCAACAGCTATATATAATTTGTTGATAAGGTCCAGAAAACAACGTAAGAAAGATAAAATAACGTAAAAGGTTATAGATGCGCATAGTTTTTGTGAGTTAAGACGAAATGTCAACTGAAGGGTAAGTCCTAAATATTTGTTGTTCTTCCTTCAGTTAATTTTTTTCAAGGAATAACCTTTTTTAATAACTATTGTATGTTGTCTCTAGTGCTTCATGCTCAAGTGAAATTTCAGTGAACGTAAGCGACGCGTTCCAACGTATTATGCTGAACAAGAGATTCGGAAGCTGGATTGATTTAGATAATGCGCTAAAGGATTTCCATAAAGTATGATAGGATAAATCTATGTTTTCTCAGATGACCCATACACACTATGTTCACGCAGAAAGTAGATTGTTGAAGGATGTGAGATATAAATACTTGTTCGTAGTGTTTCGTTGCACGTTTGGTCGTAAACGTAAATCAGAAGGTCTGAATGTGAATAAAAAACCGTGAGGACTCTAACTAATGTGTTACATTTAAGGTCTAAATTTTTAAATTGCCAACCGATGTTTCGCGTAAGATTGGAGGGTCGACAATATGTGATAAAATCTTACAACATGTCTCACAACCGTCCGTGTACTAGTTCGTGGATGGTTTGTGATCCGTTGAGTAGACGATTGTCATCAGAAGAAAAAGAAAACTTGAAACCAGTTATATTGCACTGTCAGTCGACGGACGAAGTTATCGAAAGTATTAAGGAAAGAACAGGTAAGCAGGTGACCGCTGCTGATGTCAAAAATATGAAAGCTGAACTCTCCACTGGTAAGTGTATATAAATATATTTCAGGTTGGACTCGGAAGCAGGTATTGCAGATGATGCGACAAAACGGTGAAGTTAGAGAGCATGCAGAAAATGGATGTATTACGGTGATATGCTTCAGCAGTTATGATCAGATACGGCTGTACAATATCCCGAAGTCGTGTGTATTGATTCTACTTATAAAACTAATAATAAAAAGTGAATATGATTTTCGTTTTGTTCTACTATGTAGATATTCATTATGGGCGCGTGCCTTTTACGGCAGTGTATTAACTTTGGGTAACAACACGAATAATCGTGTTGAGTCATTAAATAGGCAGATAAAAAGATAAGTACGCAAAAGCGACAGCTTGCACAAATGCATGTACAATGCTTTTAAGTGGAGTTCAATGACATTCTCTAGAAAAAGCATTGAAGACCAAATAATCAGTGGACGAACATACAATTATGATGCTCCACAGCGTCTTATACCCTTGCTGAACATGTTGACCCCATTCGCAAGATCCAAATTGTTATACGAACTTAAAAAAATGCGTTTCGTTAACTTAGAATATGAAAGCAGCGAGTGGTTGTTTATGCTTGACCGCGGACAACATTACGAAGTGGATGTAAGTATTTGTGAATGCAATTGTAGCACGTTTAATATGTGTCGATATCCGTGCCGCCATCTCCTGCTGGCATATATTAAAAGACGAAATCTAACAGGTAAGCTATTTAAATTATAAAATATAAACTGCATAGCTCATCAACTTCTTAGGTGTTGCTGCGGATGGAAATTAGACAATACGCACAATTTACAAAACAACACAGGAATTTCATTACCAAGACGGAGTAAAGAATATATACAACTTCAACGGCTCCAAAGAACGTGCAAACAACAAATTGTTGAGAAATATGGTGAACGCTTCGCGAATCAGGTGGAGGGAAATGTCTACAATTTTTACTTAAGAATTATAAACAGCTAGACAGCAGGTTTACGATTAACAGTTCCTTGTAGCTTTATTTTAGACCACTATTTATACAACTTGTAAACTTATCTTTCCACTTTAGTAGTCATGAAAAATCAATAAACTTTTTCTCATTTTTTATTTTCGTCTTCTTCATACTTTCATGGGGAGGTTTACCAATCGCTTTAACGAATAATTGTGTGTGAAAATTAGGAATTTGTACTACTGTATTAGTTACGAACTGTCGTTAGAACTTAGCGATATATCGTTGTTCATTGTGAGGAATCAACGAGTCAAATAAAACAATAATGCGACTTCCACGTAAAACCTTACAGATTAAACAACCGCCTTACATATTTTCCGTTGTCAGATTACGTCCATTATCAAGTTAGTATTAGTATGGAACTAGACAATTTCATGCAGCTAGTTCCTTGATAAGATGGATTACGTAACCCTTAGACCACCCTTCCACTCACACTTCTTTGCTAAATTATGTTAACTCTTCAGATTGTCTTCACTTATCTTGTTAGTTCTTAATTCACTGATTTATTCGTTACATCTAGGATTATCACACGATTTACCTTATATGCTTCTGAGCTTCACTCGACTATTACACCACCCATCCTTTATGTTCCCTTAAGTCTAACACCAAATGACCTTTGACCTGTTCAAGCATATACATATGTATAGTTATTATTGATAACCTAGGTCATTCCAATCCTTTGGTTTCTATTATCTTTCATACTATTTCTTCCCTTAATCTTAAATTATAATGCATATTCAGTTGTATGCAACTTATGAGAAACCACGAAATGTAATGCAGTCACATGATTCTGCGTCAATATTTGTTTTGGCTTTATTTAGACCATAATTATACAAACTTACAGGATTTATAATATAAAACACTGCGTATGGTTGTTATATTTATATTTAAATAATTCATTAGA